AGAAGTACAGATACAGTGACAGGATCAGTGACAAATTGTGTGGTTATTATTTGATATTGTGTGTGTTTGCTGCTGTGGTGCCACTGTATGTGCAGTATATTTTCCACTATTAGTGTGCACTTACTTGCCCTGCATTGTAAATCAAAGCAGTCAGAATCTCATTTGCAAACCTAATGGGAGCCAGTATAGATCCTGGAATAGTGTAACTGTAATAGGCTGATGGCCACTATGTTGTGAATTGAGTGCTCTTAAGGTCTGACATTTAAACAGGACCTGATTGTTCCAATCCTGCAGATGCTGCAGATTGATAATAGGATTATTTGTGTAAGAAGTAGAAGATGGGATGAGCAGGTTTCTCTGGACCTGTTCATCAGAGTGAGAACAGTAGTGGAAGGTTTGGAGAATTCGATACAAGAAAGCACATAAACATAACAAAATAATTATTTCCTAAAGGCAGAAGGGGCTGTTAAATCATGTAGTCAGTTCTCCAGGTTTAACTAGGTTGAAGCCTTAGATTGGAATCTTCAAGTATATTTAAAATTGCTCAGTTTTTGAGGTAAAAATGAAAAATTAAACCATTTTGAATGCTTATAGGTAGACTTTCTTTTAACATGGACGCTCGTTTTGCGTTCATTTTACAGACACATAGGTCAGCGGGTCACCGGTTCATGCTCTCTAACTAAAGACAATAACTTCTGCTTCCTCTCAATTCTGTAATCTGTTCTGCAGTGAGAATCTCCTTGTTGTGAAGCTCTGTGAGCACATGCATTTCTTCTCTCACTGCCTTCCCTTCTGCCAGGGCTTGGTGGAAAGGAAACGGCGTAAGATAATTCCCCCTCATAACTGCTGAGACACATTTATTCTACAGTGTGTTGCAGGGGGTGGGGTCTGAGCTGCTGTCCCTTTCCCTCAAACTCCTAACTTCTTGGCTGATGATTAAAAGCCAAAACCATCGACCCTCTCACCCTGCCCATAAGTGAATACACATGCTATACTTAAGACAATCTGTTCTTATGGTTGATACAAGTTTCATGTGTTTGATGTAAGTTTTTATGTGTTTGAGCACTCAACATTACACCTAAGTTTACGAACCTAAATAGTCCTCTTCAGTAAGAGCAATCTGCCTCACAAGATGCTTGCAGAACCAGAGCATATTTAAAGTATGCATTGCCAACTAGTTCCCTACTGTCTCTGCTGTGTTTTTATTTTAAGATGTTCCTGCTTTCAAAGATAAGCATGAAGCAAATGAGACTTCAAATGCCAAGTGAACAGCAGTCATACACTTCTACTTAAGCATGTGCCACTGCACAACCGTCCGCATCATTTAATTGTCACTAAACCCAGAAGAAACTGTTTGTTCTTTTCTTGCGTGTGTGGAAAGAAGTAGGAAATCTCTTTAAATGATGCCAAGGATACTGCTATTTTATGATAACTAGCAGGAAATAACAAGAGTTAGGACAGAAGGGTCAGTCTACTTGAATTCTGTATGGGAAAATCTTGAAAGTTGATCATAAAATTTAATTACACACATATCCTGAGGATAAATGAATGTTTTGTTTCTGCCTTTGCTTTTTTGCTGACTTACCTCTTTCTTTTTTGCTTTCTTACCTCTTTGAGGGATAAGAAGAATTTTTCTGAATATGGGCTGTTTGGAATTTGCTGTGAAAATACGTTTAATGTTCTAGATGACTCTGACATGACAATGTGGAAGCGACACTTGTTTCTAGTGATTTTTGTCTCATGCTTCTCATATTGCCTCTTTTTTCTTGCTTTTTCTGCCTGTACTGATTGATCTTCTGTAAAATAGCATGAGTTACAGTGCTAAATCAGGATCAAAGGTGCCTTTGTAATAAACTAATTCTGCTATTATCTTATTTCTCCCTGCAACTGGAGCATTATTTTAGGAGAAGCTCTTTCACAAACAACTCAAGGTAGTGAAATTTAAGATTTCCAGATAGCATTAACTGCTCATAATTCCAAGCTGGAATGCTGATACAATAAAGACTGTGTCATAAGGCATTGATTATAGTTGTAATGAGTTAGAGAGATAACTTCTTCACACTGATTACCTCCCAGTGTTTTCTCCCATTCAACTTCCATGATTTTTCAAAGGACATCCTGAACACACACTGTATATTCCCTCGCTTAAACCCCTGAAAAACTGCAGTGGGAATAAAATGCAGAAAGACGTGCATTTCTAGTCCTTGTGGTGGGGCATAAAAGGGTTTAAAGTAAGAAAAATCATGCTGGGTTGGTAACTCAACTTCCTTGTTTATTGTCATTTTTTCCTCAGGAGAGCCTCAAGTTTCAAGTATAGAAAGATTTGGCTCTTTGAGTTGCTAATAAAAGAAACTAGACAGATATAAATGGAAACGCTAGTTCCTGCCAGTATCAGTGAAGAGCCTGAACAAGTAGCTGTGCAAAATTGTTTGTGTTTTAACTTGGTTTTCTTAACTTAGGTGCTGTTATTGGAGTATAAAAGGAGATGTAGGGAGTATCTCAGGAATGTCACCATGGTCTGCTGCGAGTGGCACCTAGTCCTGACCCTCCAACAATTAAGTAATTGAGAAGACCTCCCAACTCTGTCTGATCGGCAGGGGTCAGAGAATTAAGTGCCAGTGTTCATCCCAGACCAGCTGCTGGGAGACAGTCCTCTGTGTAATGTGGATGTATTCCCTGTCTGCTGCTTTGAGGGAGGTGGAAATGGATCTGTCCTAGGAGGATGCCTATTCACTGCCTGTTTTCTGTGAGGGGGAGCAGGGAAGTCGTCTTGTGTGTGTGTTGATATACAATAGGAAAGCAGTCATCTCTTGGGTGTCTAGAGTGCTAGTGTTCTTTCTGCCTTATGTGGGGCGGTGGGGCTCCTGACAGGGAAACTTGTGCTCATGGTTAAGGCTGTTCAGCTGGTGGCTGCCCAGACCTGTGTGTTGTACACAGAGTCATTTCAGTGCTAAATATCAACTCTGTGTGCTCAGGGGTGTTGCAAATCACCTGCACAACCCAGACATCCCACATGGAATGGCTCATTATGTTCACTGTGCAGATGGTGCCATGCTTTGTCCTCACAGTGACACTGACCATGCTGGGGAAAGTTGTGTGCTGTCAGTTTGGGAGCGCTAGTCACTCCAAAATGGCAAGACTCATCCATAGATCAATAAGTTGATGAGCCCCATCCTGTTGGGAGGCACTGTTCCCTGTCAGCCTTCTGATGCCATTGCCTCTCAAACGGTCATCTGAAGAAACAGTTAGCAGGAAGTGCATTGGCAGCAAATGCAGAATAGCACCTGTGTGGTCAGCTGTGTGCATTGGGCATACCATTCACGAATATGGTGCATGTAGGCTGAAGAGTCCTGTAGTGTAGACACACGGAAACTGCAGAGATAGCCACTGTGCTCCCGTGCAGTCCATCTGATACCTAGAGCAAAGATGTAGCACAGCATTTGCTCCAAGTCTTGTACCATGGCACAGGTAACGAAGTCGGTGTAGATGTGCTTTGCTTTTCTTCAGGGCATGTAACAGAATTGCATTTAGGAAAGTACTAAGTAGCAGTATCTAACATACTAGTGTATACAATAGCAAGCAAATGTAGCGCAGTGAGCAATATTATATTTTGCTCCTCCACTTTATTGTTTCCAGGTTCCTGTTGCTATGAATGGTGTTGAGGGACTCTTGAGGGATGAGAAGGGTATCTTCTGCAAGAGTGTCTTTCAGAGATGTGTATCTTTCAGAGAACTGCGTCAGCACAAGTCTCAGCATGCTTTTTTGGCCATAAACCGTCACTGAAATCTTGGTTTACTTCAGCTAGACAGTTATTTCAATCACCACAGCTGTATAATGTGATCAACAGCATTGGTTTATTCTGTCCTACAGAAGTAAGCAACATTAGAATCAACACAGATTTTTTAAAGATCACGATTAAAAGTGCTGCAAGGCTGAGCAATAAACAAGTGATTTATAGTGTGAAAATTCTGTTTTGTCAGTGCCTTGACAGATTGATGCCCAAAGAAGACACTAAGTATCTAATTGTTATAGTGTCCTGCAATAATAAACAGTCGAAGGACTAGTGAAGCACATAGCTAAGCCAGTTCAAAGTTTATTTTGTCCCCAGAGAGGTGAATGTTCCTTCTTTGTGAGGTAAAATTATCTCAAGAATCATTGCTACAGATGTGGCATGCAGAGGACCAAAGAGAGTAGGAAAGGAAGGAAAGCAGCAATGCTGAACAAAGATCTGGAAAGAGATGGTAAGAGAAAGGCAAAGGAAAGATAATGAAATACCGGAAAGTATTAGCTAAAGGAAAGAAATTACTGAAAACATAACTGAAGTTGGATTGAAGAAACAAAAGAGAAACTCTTAGATGGAAGAACAGTGCAAAAACCCCAGAGATTTGTTTTGTCAACATAAGAAGTTTTATTTTAACTCAGTTTTCATTTAGTCTTAGCAACCAGCTCAACTGGTGCAGAGAGTCAACCTTTGTAATGTTCTAGAAAGCAAAAAGACTCTACATATGTAGTCCAGGATGCTTTCTGGCTTCTGATTTTTTCTTCTATCTTGGTGGGAGTCATGACTCACCTGCATCACTGAGTAAGTAAAAGGCATTAAACCCTTTTTAAGCAATTAAGACTAAGAAGAAGTAACATAACTCTTTTCTGCTTCAACTGCACTGAGATATCTCAGCAATCACCCATATTAATTAAACAAGTGACTTAATACCTCTCACAGTGAAATAGCAACGGGTGATTTGCCTGCTGAAATCAGGTGATTTACCTGTTGAAACACTACCTTTTTGTATTCTCAGGGCTCACCCAAGAAAAGAGCGGGGCTGCTGGCCAGAACGAATCCAAATGCACTATGATAAAACCACTCCTCCTTCTTTTGGTTGAAGAGAGATTTGAAAACTAGCATGTGAGGTCTCCCAAGTGAATGCATCATTTGCTTCTTGTAAACCTGACAGCCAAGTAGCTCTTCCTCATTCCGATGGTGCCAAGCACTGGAAAGAGACTCCTCAGTGGTAGGTGCCAATGAAAGTATGAAAAATTATGTCAGGTGAGGATTTCCACAGTTGGGGGAGGAGGCTGTTCTATCCCAAATGAAGGAGGATGAAATTAACAATTTCAGTGAAATACAACACAGCCTGTGACACTGATTCATGGCAAAGCCAGTGAAACTGATACATTTCTGCAAAATGTTTTGGTTTCAGTAAACTCAGTGTATTCAGACAAAAATAAGTTTTTCTGGAAATAGTTTGACTTGTTCATGACTCCTTTGTTTTTACAGACCTAAAATTCCTTTCATCACAAAACGAGTAAATAAGTAGGCAAAACAAGCATGTGTTTACTATAAAGTCTGTGATTTTGAAATTCTGTAATTCTGAAAAGTATTCTCTGCTTTCCCTTTCATGAACCCACTGCAGGGGGCTGTTTGTGAAAAGTTGCTTACTGCTGTGGTGACATTCACAATGTCCTGGTTTGGAAACCTGTCGCTTTGGATTTTTACTTTTGCTTTGAACAAAAGATTGCAGAAGCATTTTGGGTCTCTTTAAGGTTGCAGATGGGTGGTAATGATATTCTTATCACTGGTCATGCCTGGCAAGGCTTCTGGACCTTATTACTTCTCGCATAACAGCTGCCAGTGACAAGAATAATTTTCACGCTTGGAAATCATCTTTACTTGACCTGTACACATTTACATGCTGCTGTTCTCTCTCAAAAATTCTTAGTGTGAGTGATAGATGGAATCATCTGCCTTTTTAATGCATGAATTTGATATACAGATTTTTCACTGAGTCTGCTAAGGTATGTGGGCTTTTGATTAATAAAAATGTATCCTAGTTCTCAAGCATTTGTTGAATAAAGTGAAGAGAGGCTGCCCTGACCAAAATAGAGGTTGACAAGGAAGAAAAGAAAACAAGGCTAAATAGGAGAGTAAATTGGTTTTACCTCTTTATCTTATTCTAAAAGAAAAGACTGTGATTTTTTCCGTAAGTTGTTCTTATAGTTTCAGTGATTTGTTAGCATTGAAGCCTGAATCTCAGAACACTTCAGTCTTTGCAGGCCTCAGCACCCATACAGACAAATATTTACAAATCTCTGGACCCCTAGCAAAAATGAAATATTGGGTTACAGATTGTGTAAGAGAATGTTAGAAGTAATCAAAGTGACTCAGTTGAGAAGGAAGGGGTTGTGGGTCTCAATCCTTTTGAAAAAAAAATCGTCAGATTTCTGCCAAGTTTTTCTTACCACTTTTATCAGCATTAAAAATGTCAACATTTAAAAATCATTTTAAAATGGGACATTACAAAAATGAGTATAGAGTTCTTAAACTAACAGAAAACAGAATATAAAAATAAGGTTACTTTAAATATTCTGTACACAAATTGGTAAAACGGTTCACAAAATAGTTTAAGTCAATGTAGAATGAGTGTCTTTGATCTGTAAAAATATTAGCAGTATATATGACTTTAAAACTTTTTTCTTGTCAAATTCACTGTTTTTTTAGACTAAGTCTCTGAATTGGATTTATGGTCAGTGATTTGCACTGATTATTAATAATCTAATTTAGAAAAACCCATAGGCAGGTTATAGTTTTTAAAGTTAAGTTCCAACCTGATAGCAAAAATTGTCCCATGTCTGCTTAGGTGCTAAGGTTGCTATCATACTTCTAATAAAATATTTGGGTCCCAGAATCTTAAATTGCATTAAATTGTAATTTTAATTTCACTTATTTTGACAAGGATGTTCTTAAAAAGTTGAGTCTATGGAGTTTACAGGACAAGTTAAAACAGCATCTTTGTGGAAAGTGTGACCTGTGCCTTCAGTTTGTCCCAGCAGAGCACTGACACTTGAATCATACTGATGTGAATCTGGTTATCAAGTCGTCACCATTTATTAGAAATCTGTTGGGTTTTTATTAACATTGTGGTAGATGTTGGAGACTAGAATGTCATGGTGCAACAAGTAAAATACACTTCAGTAGTTTGTTGACTGAAACCATCTAAGTATTGGATAGTGGTCACTTTTGGATAACCCTAAGTTCTTCCACTTGCAGACCTCACATCCCATACAAACATCTGACAGAATATGTTCATGTAGATTTTATAAATTACTAAAATGACCTTCTGGTAACTTGGGGTGCAAATGTCAAACATCCAAGTTGTTTGGAGTTATTTTTCATTAACTCAGCGAACCATACTGAATGGATGTTTCAAATGTCAAAGTTGGGGTTGAAGAGGTCATGCAACTGGATGAAGAAGTAGGACAAATGACCTCTTGGTGAACTTTTAATGAAAGGTTAGAGGTCATAGGATTTTTTCTACATTATTGTAACAAGCTTTTCTGTATCAGGATAACTTTTAAATGAAGAAATGGTGTTCTTTGCCTGTATTGCTAGAGCCCTTGGAGAAGTTAAACAGATTCCAATACTGTCTCTGAATAAATGGCATACAGACAAGTGACTGTAATAAAAATGCTGAACTGCTGAAATATGAGGCATATTTTATATCTGTATGAACTTTGCATTCATTAATCCATGGTGTGTCAAATTTCAAGTTCCTAATTTAATACTGATATGGGAATTAATGGTAATTTATTTTTAAGTGGGTTTTTTCATACTGTGGAGGTAGTGGCTGAACGCTACTGGTCTCCGCAGGGTTCTTCAGCATTGGCCTTGTTATTCTGGTTTCATAATTTCTTTCACATTCTCCTACACTGAAAAGGGAAGCTTGTGTAGACAAGAGGTAGCCTCCTTTAATTCAAGTTTCGTTTTTGCTGGAGAAAATGGTACGATTACATTACTGTGCAGGCTAAAATTTTAAACAAGCACTAACACTGTGCATGTAATGCCACATTTTTTTGCTTCTTGTTTGAATAATGTGCAAGAAGTGGCATTAGGATCCCAAGAAGGTGTGTATAACATACAATGACCAAGAAGGCTTCCAGTCCAGACCTCAGAAAGGCAGGAGGCCAATTATAAGTCTGTTACAAGCTGTCAGTGTGGAAGAACTGATCTTTAGTTGACAGTGGGGAGCAACTTTTTCTCTCTCCTTTATGTGAGAAACAGGCTACTCTGCTGAATATGAATCGTGATCCACTGTGTTGAATCTCCATCGGTATCTACATTTATTTGACAATAACCTGTGAGCCACAATTTGTGGATTTCTGGAATCATCATGTGGCTTCATAATCAAAGGAAAAATTGAGGCAGCAGCTAAGTAATACTTGGGAACATGTGTAGCTTTCATTAACCAAGCATATATGCAGTATTTGGAGGATTTGGATATTTTTAGAGTTATGTACCATAGGTATTCTAAGCACTACTGTGAAAATGCAACTCCTAAAACTAATGTACTCTTTAATAAAAGGCAATTAGAAAGCACTCCTCAAGTTACAGTTTATTTTCAACAGAATTAGTCCCTGATGATTTAATATAATGGTTGCGTTTCAGTAAATTAGTTTTAATAAGTCCCCCTTGCATCTGTACCATGTGAAGAGGTAGATTGCAGTATCTCACTCCAGCCAGTTCACATGTGTGAACGGGGGTGGAAGGACATGGGTGGCTTTGCTGCCGAGTTTGCTGTTGGCAAATGCAGTTGCTGTTGGCAGAAAATCTGAGTGTGCAGGTTGTGGCAAACAAATTGAGGGATGTGACAGGCAGCTCTTATCCAGCACAAGGCTTGTGGTGTTCAATTAAATCATTTACTGTTGTCTCTTAGTGAAAAATCTTTGCCTATGCTTCAGTTTGAGTTTTGAGGATGTACAAGTGTTACCATTGCTTCTTTCAGGTGGCTCAGGCAGTTCTCTAAGTCTGAGGCCTTTAGGATTGGACAGAAAACGTTTGTACTAGCCAAGATACTGTTAACAAATCACAGAATCAACTAGGTTAGAAAGGACCTTGAAGATCATCTAGTCCAACCATTAACCTAGCACAGACTTCCAAATAGTGGGGCATATTATGGAAGAGCATTAATTATGCTTTGATACGTAATTTATATAGAGAGACATCCAGCTTTTATGAAGCAACTAAAGAGACAAAGCTGCTAAACCTGTTGAAATTGCCATTAAGTTCATATATTGCATCTAAAATACCTGTAAAAATACCAGTTTTCATTACCTGAAATCCCTTTTCAGGTAAAAAAACTTCCTCAGTTTTACAAGTTTCTGAATGAAGTGGTCGTTTCACAGTGTTGAAATTTAAAGCTGCCAAAGAGTGAGAGCAAAATTTGGAAGGTGAAATTTGACCAAATAATTCAAATGTTAATAGTTACGTGATATAGCAGCGTTGCACACTGCATTACATGATTGCAGTAGTGCTGTAGGACGCATCTGGATGTTGTTGTAGGTATGTGCAAAGTTTGTGAGCATGAAGTTGGGAGGTTTTAAATTATCATAATCTGAGCAAGATGTGTGAGGTAAGGTGTTGGCTTCCAGGCGACAAATCTGTTTTCATAGTTTCCTGATGTGTATTCCCTTTTCTGGTCACAGCAGTGGCCCTTGCACCACGAGGGAACTTGTCAGTCTGTCTGTCTCTACTCTTGAGTTTCCCTCGCTGGGTTTGGAATGCTGGTGGCTGCTAACAGGTTTTATTTGTAGCAAGCTTATGAAAGGAGAGAGTGTTAGAGCCGAAGTATCCATAAAACCCTTTTTTTTTTTAAAGCTATAGGAGGCTTGTTGACTCTTTGGGAAGGCTGCCCAAGGAGGATGCAGGGGAAGGGAAATGAAATCTGCCTGCCACCAGTCTGTCCAGTGGAGAGTAGCAGCAGTGCCCTTCCGGAAACGAGTGTTGGGATGTGAGCCTGAAGCGATGAAAAGAGTTTAGTCAAGGTATTGAGGGACAACAGGAAAAAATGCTTTTTCTCGCGACCTCGTACAAGTGGGTTCGGTGTTTGTTTTGTGCCGGGGTTCAGTTGCGAGTTTCAGGGAGCAGAAGAGGGTCCTCACCACAGGCTCATTGAAATGGAAATGGTTTTGCCTGCTGCTGTGGAATGCAGATTATTTTAGGAATGTTCCTGGGTCTTGAGGCTTTTTAAAACTCACACTTCTAAGATTTTT